AACCGCTCCCCTGCCAGCCTGATCAACTCCTAACTGCTCCCCTGCCAGCCCGATTGCTCCTAATTGCCCTCCCCTGCCGGCCTGGTCCCCCACAACTGACCTTTCCTCCCCACCTGGTCTCCCCCAACTGCCCTCCCCTACCGGCCTGGTTGCCCCTAACTGCCCTCCCCTGCTGGCCATCTTGTGACCTCATGGAGGCAGCCATCTTTGGCCACATAGGGGCAGCCTTCTTGTGTGAGGGTGTGCCAGTTAATTTGCATATTACCTCTTTATTATGTAGGATATTTTTTTTCAATTCATAGAGAATTTAATTTTTTAAAGGTTAGGTTTAATACCATTTTTAAGAAGAAAAACTTTTTTTTTATTGCTTAAAGTATTACAAAGGGTATTACATATGTGTCCATTTTTCCCCCCTGCCCTAGACAGTCCCCTAGTCTCCCCTATCCCCCAGTGTCTTATGTCCATTGGTTATGCTTATATGCATGCATACAAGTCCTTTGGTTGATCTCTTACCCCACTACCTCCTGCCCCCCAACCCTCCCTGGCCTTCCTGCTGCATTTTGACAATCTGTTTGAGGCAGCTCTGCCTCTGTATCTATTATTGTTCAAAAGTTTATAATGGTCTCTATTATCCATGAATGAGTGAGATCATGTGGTATTTTTCCTTCATTGACTGGCTTATATCACTTAGCATAATGCTCTCCAGTTCCATCCATGCCGTTGCAAATGGTAAGAGTTCCTTCCTTTTTAGAGCAGCATAGTATTCCATCGTGTAGATGTACCACAGTTTTCTGTATGTAGGATATTTTTATTGATTTCAGAGAGGAAAGGAGAGAAACATCAGTGATGAGAGAGAATCATCGATGGGCTGCCTCCTGCATGCCCCCTACTGGAGATCAAGCCAGCAACCTAGGCATATGCCCTTAACTGGAATTGAACCTGGGATCCTTCAGTCCACAGGCCAATGCTCTATGCACTGAGCCAAACTGGTGAGGGCTTTCCACTTGTTTTTAGAGAGAGTGGAAGGGAGAGGGAGAGACAGAGAGAAATATCAATGAGAGAGAGACACATCAATTGGTTGCCTCCCGCATGCACCCTGACCAGGGCCAGGATATGTGCCTGGGCCTGGATAATTACTAAGTGACTTACCCTTCAGTCCACAAGCCGACGCTCGATCCACTGAGCCAAGCCAGCGAGAGCTGGAGTGCTCTTTGCCTGCTCCCACTTTAGGGCCTTTGCTCTTCCTGTTCTTCCTGCCTGGAACTGTCCTCCCTGGATTTCACATAAGTCTCATTACTCCCTCACCCTCTCACTTCCCCTGATGTCTGTTCAGATGTCACCTCAGACCACCCTATTTTTTTTTATTTTTTTTTCACCCTATTTTTTAAAAATATATATATTTTATTTTTATTTTTTTAAATAAATTTTTATTGATTTTTTACAGAGAGGAAGGGAGAGGGCGAGAGGGAAAGAAACATCAATGATGAGAGAGAAATATTGGTCAGCTGCCTACTGCACACCCCACACAGGGGATGGAGCCTGCAACCCGGGCATGTGCCCTGACTGGGCTCCTGGTTCACAGGTCGACACTCAACCACTGAGCCACGCCGGCTGGACCAGATCATCCTATTTTGATACAACATGCTGTCACCCTTCAAGCCATTGCCCTGTTTGTATTTATAGCACTGATTGCGCCCTGTCATCACATTATCTATGTATTTATTGTCTGTCTTCCCCATTACAATGTGAACCCCCAGAACGGGAATTGTGTCTCTTTATTTTCAGTGCAGCATAAATGCCTAGTATATAAGACAGCTAGCACTTACTGAAATAATTACTAAGTGAATGAGTTAATGAATGAATAAAACTTGACTAAGGCCACATTGGAACTTAAACCCAGATCTGTCTAATGCAAAATGCATATATTTACCTGTGAGGTTACACAGTTCTTCCTGAACTACCCTGTGCGGTGGGCCTCACTTAGCAGAAGGGGGGGCAGGGATGGGGAGGGGAAACGACTTGCCCTCAGGTCAGCTGACATCTGGATTCAAGTGTCAGGAGCAGTCAGGCAGGCACATGACCCCAGCCCACAGGGAGAGGAAGTTCTAGGAGCCTTTTGCTGACAGTGCACTGCCCACATGTGCTGACCGTAAAGGCCTCCAGGAAGACTGCCTTTCAAGCTGCTTCATACCTCGCTGCCTTTGCTCAGCAGCCCTTCTGCCCCGACCTCCCAGCTGCCATTGTCCTTAGAGACCGTCTCAGCATCACCTCCTCCGAGAGGTCTCCTCTGACCCTGGACCTCCTTGGGTCCTACTCTACTGTGGTATCTGACTGACTGCCAGAATCAGTGAATGAGTGAATAGCACTTATCCACTTCCATTCATTCACTCAACCATAAATATTTACCGAGTTTCTACTTGGTGTCAAGCACTGAGGATCTAACCATTGTTCCCTGCCCTCAAGGCACTCACTCGAGCCTAGGAGGGAGACAGACATCACCATGGACAAAATGACATGTGACCTTACTGGCCAGTCACCGAGGGGCTTCTGAGGGCATCTGACCTGAGGCCTGAGGAAAGGTGCTCAGCATGGCTGGAGCTCAGAGCGCCAGCGGCAGGTGAAGAAGGGGCTCGGGCACCTAAGAGAGCGAGGTGGGTGAACGTTCTGATGGAGGAAGAGGTGAGGCCGGTGGGAGTGGGCAGACTTCCTTTGGCAGAGCCAGTGGAGAGGATCCCTCCAACCCACACACCCTCCTGGTTCTAGATCCTCAGTTTTCCCTCCTACTCCTGGAGGGAGGGGCAAACAGAGACAGGTTCCTCGGGCTCCAGCTAGGAGGTGACCCACAGCCAGGAATCCCGAGCGACCTGACCATACGGCTTCTCACTGATTTGTTCAGAATTAGCCAGAAGCAGACACAGCAAACATGGCCTTGCCTTGGGTAGACGTGGGAGCTGGTCTGCCTTCCTTGCTGAGTGCCCTTGGGCTGTGGCTATTGAACTTCTCTGAGCCTCAGTTTCCTCATTTGTAAAAACGGACAGGATCACAGCATCTACTCACAGGTTGGGTGAGGAGGAAATAGAATGATGTGATGGTTGCAACAGTGAGTCCTTTCCCCCGTCCCACCAATTTGCCACAACAAGTTACACTGGTAAAATCCACTTGTTTGGGACCAGCCAGAACTCCAGCCTGGATGCCCTGGGTTGCCAGAAGGTCAGACTGGACAGGGTGGGGTGGATCTTGGAAGCAGATGTGCCTGCCTTACCCTCACCCCTAACCCAAGTGGGATCTGACCACTTGGTCCTCTTAGGACTTACTTTGCTGCATCCTTTAGTGGCATATGGAGGGGGTTATAAGTAGTGAGGCAAACTCAGATGTGAGTCCCAGCTCTGCTGTGTAAGTTGAACAAGCCACACATCTGAACTTCTCTCTAAAGTGGGCACAGTGACCCTCACAAAGGGTTGCTGCCCGGGAAGCATAAGGAACAGCCGATCTGGCCTTATTAATGTTAGCTATCCAGGCCACAGGCCAACTGCACTCTGTTAACATACAAAACATTCAGCCCTAGTCAGTTCTTATAACTATACCTAGTCCCCAATATTCTATTTTTGCCCCCAATAGTTTGATTCCCAGTCAGGGCATATGCCCCGGGTTTTGGGCTGGATTCCAGTGTGGGGCATGGTAGGCAGCTGATCAATGATTGTCTCTCTTCATTGATGTTTCTTTTCTCTTTTTAAAAATCATTGATGTTTCTATCTTTCTCTCCCTCTACTTTCCCCTCTGAAATAAATAAAAAATATGTGTTAAAAAAGAATAGAATTAGCCTGGCTGGCATGGTTGAGCATCGAGCTATGCACCAGGAGGTTATGGTTTAATTCCCGGTCAGGGCACATGCCAGGGTTGCGAGCTCAGTCCCCAGTGTGGGGCCTACGTACAGGAGGCAGCAGGTCTATGATTGTCTCTCATGGTTGATGTTTCTATCTCTCTCTCCCTCTCCCTTTCTCTCTGAAATAAAAAATATTTATATACATATATATTTTAAAAGTTTAATTTCAGACCATTCTTTGGTTGCAAGGCCTCCGTGCAGACCTTCCCTGGGTTAGTCAGGTTAGCGTGTGGCCCGTTTTCGTCCACATCTCCCTCTGGAATCACAGTCGTCTGTGTCTGTTCCGCCTTTTCCTGAGGTCCCAGCACAGGCAGCAGGAGGAAGCAGCCGGGGCTGTTGAACACTGAGCCGGAACATTGGGCAGCAGGCCCCAGGTCAGGGTCCGTGGGGCTCCAGAATGCGCCTCGGGCGCCCCCCCCGCTTCCCCCCCTCCCCCTTGGGGGCAGGAAAGAAGCATCTATAACCCATCAACTTTCTGGAGTGGTGTCTCCGGGTCCAGCAGCAGGGGCCCAACTGGGGAACTAGCAGGAGGGCCGGGCCGAGAGAGAAACATCCCCACAGTCGGATGCAGGAATGACGTGGCCGATCCAGCACTGCAGCTCAGGCAGTGCCTGCGGTACTGTCTGGATTGTCGCTCCTCCCCACTTCTCTTCCCCCCTCCTCCCGACATCTCGTTTAATCTTTTCATCCGTGACGTGGGGTTACGCTTATCCCCATTGTACAGAGGGGAAAACTGAGGCTCACAGAGTCAGTGACTTGCCCAGGTGTCTTCACCGGCCAGTTTCCCCGGAGTCAGGCTTCCTGGGCTGGTAACACCCCGGGCTCCACAGTCCTCCACTTGCGGGGGACCGGTCGCTCAGAGCCCGGGTGTAGGGGGCGGGGCCACCCTTCCCGGCCTCGGTGCTGGGCGGGGCGGGACGGTGACCTCGGGACAGGCTGGAGGCCAGACTCGGCCATGGAGGGGAAGGGCTGCCGCTACCAGTTTCGGGTCGTGG